TTCTGCTACCTTAATACTAAACCTATAAATGTAGGCTCATAGATCTATTTCCCCATCCTCATATAATATATTTGCATATGTACATGTCTTTATCTAGAGCTCTATAAATGCCGAAAAGGACATTTCTTATAGACTTTATGAAAGCAAGTGATTTGCTTCTAGAAGGACCCTGGGCTATAGGAAGTATTCCTGTTAGATCGACACAGATGACAAGCGACATGTGATTTTTGGTCCCAGTATAGATGGAGAGCTGATTATAAATTTCGTTATATTAGATCCTCATTGGCCTCTTCCATAAGATCTCTCTGAGATCGAAGAGATCGCTTGGAAAGGCCAGCCAGAAGCATACCATGTAATTCATAGCTTAGACTTTTACCATGAAAGTTGATTGCTCTGGAAGGCTAATCCAAGCTAAACACTGTTAGAAGAATCCAAGGTGTGTAACATACTGTGAATGTTTTCATTTGTAAAGGCAGTTGTTATTGTCCAAAGAAATTACTTATAACTTAAAGGGATCTGATTAACCTTTTTAACCACAAAGCTTAAAGAATATGCTAAGCAACCGTTTGTTAATTATGTTCCTTAAGAAAGTTGACTTCACTCAATAAAGTTGGTGAAAATTTGTATTTTAAATGCATTAATGCACATCAAAAGTACTCACAATGTTCCTTAGTTTTTCCAAGTGCCATTCTACTTCTTATGCTTTATATATGCCTCAATGAGGTCATGTCCAAGTTTTTATGAGTGTTTTTAAATTGTCTTTATTAGAGTAGAGGCCTTATGTTGGTAGCAGTTATTAAAAACTAGCATAGTACATAATTGTAGTTGGTGTTCAATGAAGTATTTTCTTAACTGTTTTCCTTCAAAAATTTTTTTTAACTGACTGTATCATAAGGTGCTGGAGAAATAAGTTGCTGTTATATTTGACTTCTGGGTTGAGTTTTTAAGACGTAATAGGTCCAGGGGAGAGATTGTAGGGAATGTTAGTATAAATTCATTTTTTTGTTGTTTCTGTTCATAGATTAAAAACCGTTTTAATGAATGGAGTGCTAAACGAAACTTAGTTTTTCATGTTTGCGTTTTTATATAGGGTGACATTTGTGATTCTCACTTTGTGAAGCTGCTTTTTGAAACACAGAAAATAGATATAGTACTGCATTTTGCTGCACAAACACATGTAGGTAAGCATTGATTGCTGGTACTTAATGACTACCCGTTTTCGTTCCAGTTAGCTTTAAATCAACACCAGACAGCTTTGACCAAGTAACTTGATGTACATCTTGGAAGGAAGACAACTGTGTTCTACCGGGAAAATAAGCCTGTGGTCTCAATAAACTTGCTTCCCTTTGGTTTACTTTTACTAATGAAGGCTGAAATGTAACTTCAAATGCCATCTTAAAACTTTTGAGTTTGACCAAATTCAGGATAATGATTCTTTTTATTTTTTAATTTTTTATTGTGATTTAGGTTTATAAAGCCGAACAGAAGTTTTACATTCAACGACGTATATGTACTTTATTTCAGTTCATCCATTCAGTCCCCCCATGTATTATCACTTACGTCACTCCCTCCGCGTGCTCCTTGTTTGCCCATTGCTCCTCCTCGTCGATCTCTCTGTCCGTGGATCAGTGCCACATTTTGATAGTAACTGGTTCCTTGTTCTAACGTGGGGGTGCGGTCAGTTCCAGACCTGCAGGGTAAGTAACTAAGGGCCACAGTCCAAGGGTTCTACCACTTTCTATTCGACCAGTAAGTCTGATCTCGTTGAGTTCTGTTAGACATTTTCCTCCTACTCTATTCGGATTCCTCTAATGTGAACCTTTTCAGAGCTGTTGGTGGTGGTTACTGGGTAGCGTTAGTTCTTCTTGCCTCTGGGTTGTGAAAACTGATGTTTGCAGAGCCCATTGGTCCATTAGAGTAATTGTTTCCATGTGTCTTTCAAGTGTGATCCTTCTTCCTCCAGAAGAATGTTGTTTTAAGACTCTAGTTGCTACTCAATCTAGTAGGATCGAGTAGAATATTGTCTTTCTGAAATATTAGACCAGTTGACCTTGATTTCCCCCAAGACTGCAGTCCTGGGCCCCCTTGCCCTGCAACTCATTGCTTCAGGGCATTTAGTTATATCAAAGAAATTTTCATAACTTTGTCCCTAGGATAGTGATTATTTCTGAAGAAGTGTAACTTTACCGTGTGTGTGTGTGTGTGTGTGTGTGTGTGTGTGTGTGTGTGTGTGTATTTTAAGCTGGGTGGTGGGTATACAGGTGAATCTTATATTATTTCTACCATTTTTTGAATCTGGGATATTTTACATTATTTTTCTAATGTTTTATGTTATGAAATATACATGAGTGCTTCAAAAAGTGTGTGGAAAAATTCCATTACCTTTTAATTCTATTTTTTCACTAACTTCTTGAAGTCCCTTGTATATTCAGAAGAGTTTAGAAGCGCAGACAAAAAATGATAATGCGAATACCCATGTAGCCATCATTTAAACCAGAGATTCTCAACTTATTTGACCTGCCACTCCCTTTTCAGAAAAAAATTACTCAGTGCCCCCTGTTCCCAATGAAAAACTTTTGTATTATAGCTCATAATCCAGGATTAAGTGTAGGTGTCTGCTTTTGTACCCCCTCAATCGTGCCAGAACCCCAGGGAGCAGTAGTGCCCACTCTGGGAAACACTGATTTAAACCAAAGAATCCTCTAAAGGAGTATTTTACTATCGCCTGTTTTTTGTTTGTGTGTTTTTACTATCGACTGATTTTAAATATAGTAGTTTTATTTCTGTATATGTATTCCTAAACACAATATATTGGCTTTGACTGTTTAAACTTTATAGAAATATTTATATTAGGAATTCTTATCTTGACATCTTTGTAGACTCATACAGATGGTTGGATGTATATATTATTTGTTTTCAGTGCCATTTAAAGAACATCTTACTGTCAGTGTCCATTTAGGTTGTTTGCACTTGGGAGCAATTTTGAACAATACATATATTCTATCAGATACATAAGTAAAGTATACTGTACATATCTTGGTACACATGGCTCTCCTTTTTGTCAGACATACATATGTAAGTAGGATTTTGAGACCTGGATGGCATACTGAGACATGTGGTGTGGCTAACTTGCTTTCCACAGCACTTGTCCCAGTTTCGCCCCCTTTGGGGAAAATGTGTGCGATTTCCTCAGGCTCCAGATTTCACCAAAGCCTCAGGGTCAGACGTTGACCTCTTTGCCAGTCTGAATGGTGTCTAGTGGGATTGAATTATTGTTTTGCATTTCCCTTTGGTTAATGCGGTGGGGTGTCTGATATTTAATACAGTTTCTCCAGCGTTTGTAGCCCTTTGCTAGGAAAAAAAACCCCAAAGTTTCATAGTTTTGTAAAATTTCAGAACATTTTACATTTTTACCTAGCATTTCTTTGTTCTTTCTCGAGTGAATGTGTTTCTTGCAAATTAGTGCTGATAGCTTCCTATCTCCTAAGACTTTACCTCAAGGAGCCCTGGTGGCACAGTGGCTAGCACTAAGTTGCTCACTGCGAGGTTGGTGGTTTGAGCCCTAGTAGCTCCAAAAGAGAAAGCTGTGATGTTCTCGTTCTGTAAAGATTTACAGCCTTGGCGACCGGTGTATTTTAAGATGAGGGAAATAATAAACTCAATGCACTGTATTCGATTCTGAAAATGTTTGCAGTTGTAATGTCTGAGGCTAATTGAATAGGGCTATTCTTAAACTTGTCTACACTGTTTACTTGTTTTGTCCCCTGAATGGATTGGTTTTCGCTCTTCTGTCTTTTTATTTAGATCTCTCCTTTGTCCGTGCCTTTGAGTTTACATATGTTAATGTTTACGGCACGCACGTTTTGGTGAGTGCTGCTTATGAAGCCAGAGTGGAGAAATTCATTTATGTCAGCACTGATGAAGTGTACGGAGGCAGTCTCGATGAGGTAAGCCTATTAGGAAATGTATGTTTCAGTCATTTTCCAGGTACCACGATAAAATCTGTTAATAAAATCTACTCTGGGTGTTTTTTTCGTCCTCTAAGAATAGATATATGCGTGAGAATCTGACAACTATTAATTCCATTGTTTTTTCTGTGCAAATATAATGATGCCTCTTTACATGGGGGGTAGCAGCCTCATCTTGGTACTGGTGTATTGACTGACAGTGTTTTTGCATGTTCAGTCTAACATGCTTGACGAACATCATCTCCATGGACCAAAGCCCAAGTAAGTTAGGCTGTGGTGCACTGTCCAGCGTGCTTGCTGCAACTGCTTACTTTTCTTGCCCACTGGCAATGTATTTTGGATGTTGAATGAGCCTGAAATTACTTTAAAAAAAAAATCATTTTTAAATACTGTGTTTTTATGTCCCACGGTCTCAAAAAATGGCTCCCTTTGGCAGGGTGCAGTTTTTAGAGTTCATATCTGTAGTTGCCTCAGTCTGTATTGTTTTGCTCTGTTTTTTACTCTTTTTACCAAATACATGTGCATAGTTTGACAAAATAAATGAAAATCATAAGATTTTAATGGGGCGGGCAGCAAAGGGGTTGGATATATAGTGACCCCCACTCCCCAGGGGGATGAGTAACAGAAAGGTGATGAAGGGAGACAACGGACAGTGTAAGACACAAAGTAACAACAATAATAATATAATTGACCAAGGATTCACGAGGGTGGAATGGTGGAGGGAGGAGGAAAAAGCTTATACCAAGGGCTCAAGCAGGAAGAAGTTGTTTTAGAAATGTTGGCAGCAACATATTTACAAGTGTGCTTAATACTATTGAAGATTTGTAAGCCCCTCAGTAAAATAATTAATAAAAAAATACTTCTGATGAATTAACAAAGCCTAATCACTTCTGTTTCCGAAAGAAGCGACCATTTTCAAATCTCTTTGCAATTCTTATCAGATACACTTCTTCCTCCTTTTTCTGCTTCAGATCCGATACAGTCGGTATAAGATCAGTCAGCTCGTGGCATTGCTCTGCTCAGGACTCGTCAGTCTGGAAGTGTGGCATGCTCTGCCGCCCTCTGGCCTTCTCGCTCATTTCTCCTTCACTGCTTTCTTGAGCATCCTGCTCCTCAGGCGCTGTACCTGCTGTTCCCTCTGCTTGTCCGTGCAGGTTGTTGTCAGGATGCAAGAAGTTCCTTCCTCCATGTGTGGTATTAAGGAAAATGTGAGGCACAGCACTGAGCTTCCATCCATGGTTTTTTAAATGTAGTGATTAACATTTCAACACATTATATGTTTTCTGATTTTTCTAGTTATCTTACATAACTCTTATTTATAAAATATGCCATTTTAAAATTAGGTATTTGATGAATCTTCACCCAAACAACCTACAAATCCTTATGCATCATCGAAAGCAGATGCTGAATGCTTTGTGCAGTCCTACTGGGAACGATATAAGGTAAGAGGGGAATTAAGAAACTTGGATTTTTTTTTAATTAGGTGTTAAAACTCCAAACCAGCATTAGCAGTTTTTTATTTTTAGCTTAAGAGATGTGAGAGGGCTTCAAAAAGTTCTTAAAACAATGGAATTAAAAGATGATGGGATTTTTCCACAAACTCTTTGAAGCCCCCTCCTATGTTGTGAAAGGTTAGGTGTTAAGGAATTTAAATAACTGATTTCACAAAGCAGGGCCTTCCTCCTTTTGTTCAGACCATCATTTAAGGGAACTATTAGTAGATACATTTCTCCTACTTCTGTAATCAGTAGAGTGTTAAAGCTACAAGAAGGAAAAACTGTCTTGGAATTTCCTGGTTCCCAGGAATTCTGTGAGTGGTGGCAAGCAGAAGGAGGAGGGTCCCCTTACTGCAGGGGACTCTTTACTGCGCGATTCTGTCTTCGTGGTTCCTCATAAACAGGAGGTGGACTTTCCTGGGGTGGCCATGTCCATGAGTCATAATTCATCAGCCTTCATTCCCTTTATTGTCTTTCCACTGATCTTCTGTTGGAGTTCCTTGGGGCTGGGTCAGTACTGCAAGCCAAGGAGTGAAGTGATATTCTCCTGCCCTTTTTGTTCTGGTGATTGGCCCATCTTCCTTTCACAGCAGCACTTGTTCCTAAGGGTTGGTACCTTGAAGCTTACATCTAACCAACCCTGTAATCTGAGAGCGGTGGTCTCTGAAATAATCAAGTGAAAGTATCCTCAATTTTCTGCTCCCAAACTCAGAAACCTGCCTCCATCTATATTCAGTATTCTCTGGGCCCAGTAGGAAGAATATTCTCCTTAGGGTTTTAGGAACCGCTGCTTTTATCAGAATCCTGCCTGGTCTTTCATTAGAAAATGTTCCCTTATTTCTGTCCTTAAGGCATGGAATTATTTAGGCAACGTCACCCGTAATTTTAAGTTCTTTTGCTCTTTAAGTTTCCAGTTGTCATCACAAGAAGCAGTAATGTTTATGGGCCACATCAGTATCCAGAAAAGGTACATTTTATTCCTTCATTCCCAGTTCTTTATTACTTTTTGTTCAAAATGATTTTTGTTGAATTTATTTATATGTGCTGAATAGACCCTGTGAAAATTTTGTAACATTTCGAATTTGAAGACTTAAGCTTCAGCCTCAACTTGACAACTCACTAAGTGGTGTGGCCGTCAGCCCTCTGACCTTGTCTTTAAATGGAGAGTACTGATCCTACTTAGAAAGGTATTGTGAGGTTCCCCTGAGAGGATGCATTTGACAATGCCTTGTGAACCTTACAATGCAGCAGGAGGTCACCACAACAACAAGACTCCCAGTTTGCCATCTGCCCTGTATCTCAGGGTGGACAGAAATGTAAACGCTAACAGTGTCCGACTCATCTTTATTGTTGTAGGCCTGAGTGTCTTCCAGAAAGTCCCAAGAGTGAGATTGAACAGTGGAGTTAGAAGCCTGAAAATGCCTGTGTAGTTAGTTCTGTATGGTCAAGCCTACTGCTGGCCAGAGATTATTTGCTCTCAGAGTGGATGCTTCCCTTTCTAACTGGTTGCCTAGCTCTAATAGCCAAAGGAAAGGACCCTGTCAGGCTCAGCTGTAGTCATAGCTACTGTGCATAGATTTGGGATTCTCTTTCAAAGGGTTTATTATAAACTTAGTAATTTATCGTGCCCTGATTAACATAACCTTAATCTGATTCTAGGGGCATTGAAATTCACTTGTCATTAATTCCACAAGCACTTTCTGAGTAGGTGCTAGATATAAAACTGTAAGTAAGTTATGGTTTCTGCCTTTTTGAAAGCAGTAATTGAGCTTTCTGATGAGAGCAAACTGTTCATGAACATTTTCTCAAGATTGTTTTACACTACTGTTATCATTTTACCTTCATATTTATCTACCTGAAGACTGGTTTGGTGAAATAGGACGGTATTGTATAGTTCTTTCACTTACCAAATAAAATAGAATTTTTTTCTTGTATGCCTAATGAAAAGAATTAGAATTTATCCATGTGTGTATTTCTTAATAATAAAAATAACCTTATGAGGAGTTCAGATTCATATTATTGTATGACTTTCCAAATCTGAAATGATATTTAAATATCCTTTTAGGTTATACCAAAATTTATATCTTTACTACAACACAACAGGAAATGGTATGTTATTTACCTCTGTCCTATATATTTTCTAATATGTTGATAGTATTTGGTGACTGTCTTGAAAATTATTAAGTCTTACAGTTAGAGGCCATAAATTGGGTGTGCCACCAAATATAAAAATTCCTCCTACATTCACTATACTAGCTTTTTAAATAATACATGTAATTCCATAACTTGTCTTTCTAATTTACTTCCTCTATTGTAGACTTTGAATTATAGCATCAGCATTCGGTATCTGTTTTATATAGAATTTTACTTTCTGGGAGAATTTATTTAATTCATAGATCTATAAATATTTCTTCAAATGAATTTCTGGGATGCAATTAGGAATAGGTGTTTCTCACAGATCACTTCAGTGTTTGCTGGTTTTTCCTAAGTAGCCTCCAGAGGCTTGGACTACATTCAAGAACTATGGGCAAAATTCAGACCAGTTCGTGGGCATTGTGTTTTCAATACAAGCCTTTTAGGGTCCCCGTGATCATTGCCATCTCTAGGGTTGTGCCCAGTCGCTGCGTCCCCTGGGTTTGATGCCAGTCCATTTCTTCCTTTAGCTGCATTCATGGGTCAGGACTCCAAACCAGGAATTTCCTCTATGCCGCTGACGTAGTAGAGGCATTCCTCACTGTCCTCAAGAAGGGGAAGCCAGGTGAAATTTATAACATTGGAACCAACTTTGAACTGTCAGTTGTCCAGCTTGCCAAAGAACTAATACAGCTGGTATGTATATATTTTGAGAGGGTGCCGTATTTTCAAAATGCTATTAATTGAGTCAAAATAAGCAGTTTATAACAACCTAAAGCAGGGAATAAATGAAATTCATCATTGACCTCATATGTAGAAAATGGTATGTCCTAGAATCAAGGAACATATACTAAGGAACATGATATAAAATAATTATAGTAGCAAGTGTAGATGTGTATTACTTGGCCATCAATTAGAGATCTCAAAATTTAGTAGTAAGAGTGCATAATAACCAAAAGCCAAAAAATGTTATGTCTCCCATAGTTTATAAAATGTGTATTCTATTAGAACTTCAGATGGAATTTGAGTAATAAAATACAGAAAGTCTTATTAAGGTGTTATCTTTATAGCCATTCCTCCACCTTTAAGGAGGTTGTTTTCTTCTTCATTAAATAAATGCTATTACTGTTCTCTAGTCTCATCTTATCGTTTGACTCTAAAATCTTACTTATTTTGACAGATCAAAGAAACCAATTCAGAGTCTGAAATGGAAAACTGGGTAGATTATGTTCATGATAGGTGAGTAACTGGTTTTACAACTTCCTGAGAAGATTGTGAAATCTCAGGCACTTTTTCCAAGTCTGATGTTTCCTCTGGTTTTAGAATAGGAATGATAATATGTGACTTCCAAAAGTCTTTTAAGGATTCACTATAACATGTGGAAAATGCTTGATGCAGGGCCTAGTCCATGTAGGTATGTGTGTTCATTCATCCGCCAGACGTTTGATGAGTGCCTCTGAGCCAGGCCCCAATGCCTGCCGAGAGGGCGACTGAAATCAACAAGTGTAGACCACAGAAGGGATTAGACTTCTGAAATTGGGATGATTGTTCCATAAAAATGATTCTATTTTCAAGTTTTCTGCAATGAGCATGTCATTAGCCCCCCCCCCTTTTTAAAGAAGAATATTTAAAATATGGCAAAGATGCAAAGGCACCTTGTGTTACTATTTAAGTTTGTAAGTATGTTTTCACAATGTCATTTAAACTCTGTTTTATTTTTGAAGACCTACAAATGACATGAGATATCCGATGAAGTCAGAAAAAATACATGGCTTAGGATGGAGACCGAAAGTGCCTTGGAAAGATGGCATCAAGAAAACAAGTATGTTACGGATCGGTTCGCTTTGTGTGGAGGGCTGTTTTCAGAAACATTGAAGGGAACAGTCACTCATTGTTAGAATGCTACGTAAATACCACAGACTACCTTGAATCATTTTCACTTTTCCATTGGTCACATTTAGTGTATGTTTCCTTCTTAATCATGTTACCTAAGCATCTGGAATTTCCAAGCCTAATTTTTGACCACTCTTCTTGTGCTATTAGCATATACCAAGTACCTGTTTCATAGATTCTGAGGTGTACCTCTCCCCCGACCCCCACCCCACTTTTTCACATCCCTGAAAGGTACATGCTTTATACTCACTGGTGTCTTAAAATTATTGGCCGTTTTTTTCTTTCCTCATTGGTGTCAGAAATATATCAAAAGCATCTTCAATTTAGAACTTGGATAATTATAGTCACTAAATGTCTTGAGATTTTTGGTGTTAAAAAAAAAAAAGAAACATCGATTATTTGCAGGAAAAACTGTTCAAATGATGTGTATGGGTTGCATTTTATGTGTGTGTTTTATATTAAAGCTTTAGTTAGAAATGTACTCATGAGAAAATTTTCTACCAAATGTAAAAAACAAGTTTTGATTCATACATTGAAACATTTGTACAGTTTAAAAATGCAACTCAAAGATAACTTTAAACTGTCAGTTTTCAGCTAAAAACTTTGCTGATAGCTTAGCAACCTAAGCTATTGAGCTGACATGTTAATAAAAAGAAGTGCTCATCATTTCACGGACCTCTGATAATGGTGCTACCATATTTACATGAGCAAGATGCCATAAAAGCTGTGCTATAAAACCTTCAAAACAGTGCTAATGCTGTAGTGCAAATTCTTCCTTCTTTCAGGTGATAAGAAAGTCTTCTGATCGGCATCACTGTGTAGGTCAAATCCAATTGTCCTTGTCACTAGGCAACTCTGGTCTGCTGATGAGCCCTTTTTCTCTGACAGGAGCTCCTGAAAGTTCACCGACTGTGTTTAGTTTTCATGTATTCTTTGTGTTTTTGTCATGACAGTTGAGTGGTACCGAGAGAATTTTCACAACTGGAAGAATGCAGAAAAGGCACTAGAACCCTTCCCAGTACAATCAACTATTCTGTAATCTGGAGAGATTTGTGGGGAGAAAGAAGAAAATTACCCTACCTCGACAAGTAATAAGAAATCAAGAGACCAAATGAAAATCTCCTCTTCTCATTTGGAATTAGATTCCTGACCTACAGTGTAACATTCAGACACAAACTCCTTCAGTATTTGGAAGCTTTGGTATTGGAAATGTCCTGTACCAGCACAGGACTTAAGTATGAAAATCCTTTCAGGAACCTAGTAGAAAGACAACGCCTTACAGCTGGGTTGCGTATGACGTGCTGGTTCTGAGAACAGAGGTCAGGGCTCTGGGAGGATGACTGCATTTTATCCTGTTGAACTCAAGCTGCTTCCAAGCCTTTCCCACCGCCTGCGAAGTTCCCATTTTTAAGCAATATAGGATGAGCTTTATGCCCAATTACCTTTTTTTTTTTAAGTTATGTTGTTCTAGAATTGTTTTCAAAATGGAATTAAATGGTAGCAAGGCTAGCACTTTTTAACGTTTGATATTTTTGTAAAATTAAGTGAACTTTTTTTAAGTGAATGTCAAGTTTTTGTATTTTTATAATCATTGTGGGAATATATATATATAAATGACTATTGAAATTTTCTCATGTACTTACTGTTCAAAATTTTATTTATAAAATTGCCTCTATTTTAATGTATTTAATATGCAGTGTGGCTTTTTTTAGTAATGTATTCTGCTTATCATGCTGCTGAAAATAAAATACTGGATTCCATATGTTTTTAATCGTTGCCTTAAAACCTCCTACTTGAAAATACAACTGATTGAAAGTTGAGTTATGGAGGAAAAGTGAAGGATTGTGCCCAGTTTTCTGACCTTAGTGCATGGGTGATGACGACTTGTTTTCTCTGCAGTAACTGAGTCATTAACTGAGAGGTTTGAGTAGGATAAGATTTTTGAAATCTGTAGCTTTTCTCTAACAGTACTCAATAACTTTATTTTTAAATCACTTTATTGGGGGCTCATACAACTCCTAGCACAATCCATCCATCCACCCATGTGTCAAACACATTTGAGTGTCCAATAACTTTAAATGTGAATGAAGAAAATAGCAGATAGATTGAACCAAGACCAGGCATTGTATAAATAAGGCAAGACAGGAAGCTAAAGGGTTGAGGGGAAGAAAAGAATTTAATTGATGTTCCATAAGTCTTCAATATTACATTGAACTTCCAGTTATCTTTAGTTCAGTAAATGGGACTTGAAAATCATTCTTGATACCTTCCTCTTTTTCATTTCTCTCTCTTCCTACTACATTCCCCCCATGCATTCTGGTACCACTTGTTACATGTTTAAAGAATGCGTTGTATGAGATGCCCACACTGCTCCTAATTAGTTGCCAGTTTCCTTTAGTGAAATGAGAACTTAACTTTCTTGTATATCCTCAACATTTCCTCCCAATCTTCCTAAAACAGCAAGATCACAAATTTTATATTTGCATACTTAAATTATTAAAATTACTTTTTTTTTCAGTATAGAGGCAAGATTTGTAATTTTTAATCTTGTAAAATTTTTTTCTTGAGTTAGTAATCATGTTTTTTTATTTTTAGTTTTCTAGTAAACACTCAATATTCTATTGATTTTAATTTCCAAGAATACTTTCCTCTGCTTTTTGTTCCCATCTGCACCCTTTGAAAAATAAAATACTTTATTCTTATATGATGGTTCTTATATTTTATCTGAGGATTACGGGGTTTTTTCCCCTCCTGGTTCCCTGCATCATATCTGTTTCAGTTTATTCCTTTTACATTTGTTGCTTGGTTTATATGCTACTTGGGGTATTTTACAGCATGTTGCAAGCTTTACAATGATCTGGTTAACTTTGAGTGACTTTTCAAGGAATGACTAGGAAGTTACTAGAAACTCTGAGTAGACAGAGAATGTGTCCTTGTAGAAGGAGTAGAAGGTGGGCCAGTTGTGGGATGGGTCCCACTAGCCAGGAGTCTTTGCTTTAGAGCCATTTCTCTTCTGCTTACAGTGAAATGCCTCATTTTGGCCTCTGGAAATAGGGAGGAAGATATTTAGAAAGCAGGACTTAGTATGGAGACCCAAAGCCCATCTATAGGCAAATGGACACACACACACCCCTCACAGAAGGGTCGCAGGGAGGAGGCGAGTCAGGCAGCGTGCAGTGTAGCAACGATGAAACAACTTTCCTCCAGTTCTTAAATGCTTCCTTCTTCCCCCACTATCATGATCCCAATTCTACCTTACAAATCCGGCTAGACCAGAGGATGTGCACTGGTGAGATAGGAATGCCTGGAGCAGAAGAGGGGGAAGGTGTCAGTTGGG